TTAGCTAAAACAGGCATGCTAAATATAAGCAGAAAAGAGAAAATAAAATATCTATTCTCTATCTTCCTTCAATACATTCTCTTTTTTGGCTAAATCAATTGCTTGGCAAAATTCTTCCTCCAATTAAAACTAAAAATCAAAAATTCCTGCATTTTCCAGTAATGGTTTGAAACCCAGCTTCAGCAAGCTTTGGCCATAATATTCCAGCCTATGAGAGCTGCAGCATCGCTTGCTCCCAGAAAAGCCATGGGGGCCCAAACCCTGCCCCAGTCTGTGCCGATGGTGGGACTTGGAGCCAAAACAGAAAATTCTCAAACCTCAGGATTTAATATTATTTTTTTGGTAGGGATTTGGATTTAGTTGAACCTGTTAATTCTTTTTATTTTCTGCTCCTGTCCTTTGTTAGGGAGTTGTCTATCCTATGCTTGCTCCACTATATATTTAAGAAACAAATAATTTGTTTGATTTCACAGCTGGAGGGGAATCTTCCTCAGAATGAATCATAACCTGAGCCTTACATATATCCAATTTTGATATTTAGATGAGAATCTAGACCATAGACTTTTAAGATTATGCTACAATGAGTTAAGACTGGGAACTATTGTGTTAAAATGAAATTACTTTGTATGTGAGAAGTACATGAGTTTTAGGGGTGCCAGAGGCAGGATGCTATAATTTGAATGTTTGCCCCTTCAAAATTAAATTTCATGTTGAAATTTAATTCCCACTGTAACAGTGTCAAGAGATGAGACCTTTAAGAGGCAGTTAGGCCATGAGGGCTCTAAAGAACAACTCCCATTTCCTTAAACACACACACACGCGCGCGCGTGCGCGCACACACACACACACACACACACACACACAGCTATGATGATAACATGTGTAAAGGAAAATTTAACTTGTAGAATAAGGACTGGGTGCTTAATATCTTAAATTATATTTTCTTTTGAACTCTTCTTATGGTGCCTCTGGCCATGGCCATGATCAGTGGGTGGTTATATATTGAAATTAGGCCTCAGAGAGCTAGATAGGTTGAATAGTGCCTGGCATAAAGAGCACGTGATGACAGTTCGTGTTAAATAAACTGAAGCTTTCCTGTGAAGCAGAAGAGGCTAATTTGTAAGGAGGTTTCTTTACATCTGCATGACACAGCAGACCATGGAAAGTTCTTGTTGCATCAGGTACTTCTTCAGCTCCTTTCCTTTCCAGGCTAAAGTCTGCAGACAGGCTATTATTCACATGCCTGCCAAGAGATTTAAACAAGAGAGAGATTCTCTGTCCGTAATAAAAATCTGTTAAAAGGTGGAAAACAGGGAACAGTTGATAGCAGATGGCCAATAGCAACAAAAATAAGCCACAGTTTTGAAACTTTCTAAGTCTTATTGAGGCTTATCAAGAGATAGCCCCCACTTGGGGACATACTAACACTAGATGTCCAGTTTACCCCTTTCTACCCCTGTGAAGAGTAACAGAGGAAATAGATAGGAAAGGGCTAAAAGGAGCTTTTTAGGACCTTGTAAAACTAGTTCAGAGGACAGGACCTCCAGAATCCTGAGGACAAGGAGATAAACTTGGCTTACTTGACAAAGGCATCACTTTGGAACCAAAGTGGTTGCCAGTAAATGTCCTCAATTTTACTACCTGGGTGTGGAATTTGGCAAGTCATGTATGTGAACAATAGGGTTAGTTACCTAAATGGTCAAATAGCAATAAACATTTTATGAGAGAGTTGTGTAAATTCTTATTTGTTTTAAAAGGCTTTTATGTCAGGCTCACCACAATATTTTTTATTATGTATTTGAAAGTATTAGATCTTTTGTACCTGAAAAGTCATTGTCTATTTGAAGTCTTCTTAATGCAAAGAAAAACTCTCATTTAAAAAATATAGCAAATAATTTTTTTGTGTTACTTTTAAAATATCGGCCCAACACAGTGGCTCCTCCCTGTAAACCCAACATTTTGGGAGGCTGAGGCAGGCAGATTGCTTGAACCCAGGAGTTTGAGACCAGCCTGGGCAACATAGTAAAACCGTGTCTCTACTGAAAATACAAAAATTTGCCTGGCATGGAGGTGTGAGCCTATACTTCCAGCTACTCAGGATGCTGAAGTGGGAGAATGCTTGAGCCCAGGGGCTTAAGACTGAAGTGAACCATGATTGAGCCACTGCACTCTAGCCTCAGTGACAAAGAGAGATCCTATCTCAAAAATGATAATAATAATAATTGCTTGTTTCATTTTGGCAAGATATACTTGTGGTAACAAGCATACTAGACTTCTCTCTTCTTTAACCCTTTGTAACTCTGCATAATATTATTGAAATTCTTATTTACAGAAAAAAAAACACATCTTTCTCTGGTTATAAGCTTTTAAGAAAACATTATTTTTAGAAAATGCTGAAATAAATTGGAATAATTTGATGAACACTTTTGAACCTATTAGATTAAACAATATTGACCTCTGTCATCTATGTTTAAAATGACTATTGTAAAGAAAAAAATTACATAATTTCCAGAAAAATAGTATGAAATTTTTTGTATAGCATTTTATTGTGGATTTATTTTACTTGAAACTACATGTGAGTAGATTATCAATATAAATAATTAGCCTTTTAAAAAGCATATTTAATATTATTAGTTTAAATTTTTGCAATTGACTTTGTAAATTCAGCACTATGTGTTTGAAATGAGTTCATGTTTAAGCTTATTTAATTTAACTGCTGTTAGTATTTCAAAATATATTATTTAGACATTTATCCCAATTGATATAACCATCTTTATTTCTGTGAACATTTTGGTTAGTTTTTCAACTGAATTTTTAATTCCAGATTTGCTCTTATTCCCTGAATCTGAATGGATATTTAATGGGAATTTCAGAAAGCATTTAATTCTACATCACCTGCTGTAGCTTCACAACAACAGAGAGCTGACTTCAAACCAATAACTTTATATTCCACTACTTTGAACTTACTTAGGTATCAGCTCCCTGCAGTTCCCACCTGCTTGGACTTTGAGAATATTGGTATCATGTTAGCTACTCATGCTCAAACCTTGCTGGAAATGCTGGTTTAAATTTATGTAACTACTAACCCATGTGATATGGTGTGGCTCTGTGATCCCAACCAAATCTCATTTCAAATTATAATCCTTATAATCCCCATGTGTTGAGGAAGGAACCTAGTGGGAGGCTATTGGATCACGGGGGCAGTTTCCCCCATGCTGTTCTCATGCTAGTGAGTGCATTCTCACAAGATCTGATAGTTTTATAAAGGGCTCTTCCGTATTCAATCTCTCTTGCTCGCCTGCTGCCATGTAAGACATGCTTTCCTTCCCTTTCACCTCCATGATTGTAAGTCTCCTGAGGCCTCCCAAACCTCAGGAAAATCTGTGAGTCAATTAAACCTCTCTTCTTTTTAAGTTACCCAGTCTCTGATAGTATCTTTATAGCAGTGTGAAAATGGACTAATACACTTTGCCTTCTGAAGTAGGTCGTGAGAGGTTCCTGAACCTGAAAAGGAATGAAGAAATGACTTAAAGCCACCAGATAATTGGGCTTGATCATTTGGACTCAGTTGACCCTTCCCCTACCCCTACCCATGTCTAACACCAAAAAAAAGGATCCCATACTTACACAGCACAAAGAAATCTACTCTTCTGCTCTTTCTAGGACTGCTAAAGGCCATGGGAACTGGACACCTGGATGCTATGGAGGAAGGGCAAACAAAGCCTGACATCAACCTGGACACTTTGCCAACCTGTTTATGGTAAGTTGATGTCACTTGTGACTACTCCTAGTGTGTGCCAGGAATAAGCTATTCCTGATGCCAGAATCTCTTGCCATCAGTGCCTTCTGTAGGCCTTCTGACCCTTACTCCTTGCTCCACCCATAGTTAATATCATGGGGTTCTCTCTCAGATCCTGATATAAAGGTCCTACACTGCCTGGGCTGACAAGCCACCTCAAGTAGACAAGACACTTACCAATAGGTAAGGGGTCATTAGAGGAGAAGGGCATGTCTAACATGGGATTTTCTGTTTTCATTTTGAGGTAGATACAGGGTGATTTTCTGTATCCCAGTATTAATGAAGATTAAGCAAGACCAAAGCTGATTTTGGGTAATTTGGCCTGTATAATCCCCAAACCAAAAGGGAAATATCTGCAACTATAACTATTTCAGAGGACCTTCCTGCTCTCAGGAATTCAGAGAGGAAAGGATGTTAGAAAGATAATAGGTGCTCTGCTTTCTTCTTCAAACCCTCTTCCCTGTGTTCTGCTATAGAGATTGCTGATTTGCTCCTCAAGCAAGAGATTCACTGCTGCTCAGCATGGTTCAGACTAATGCATGCTTCATGCTGATCTCCTGCCTGATGTTCCCATCTCTGAGCCAAGGTGAGATTTTCCCTTACACCTCTCACACCAGCCCTGGAGTCTTCCCTCCATCTTCATGCATGTGGGTTCACTGGAAAAACAGCAGAGCCAACATCAGGGGTTGTTTTCTGTCGTCCAGTGATCATTATCGCTGATCTCATCCCATTCAAAAACATCCTCATTTCGTTCATGTGTCTGAAACAGAATTTGATAGGATCACTTATAGGTGACCATTGTGGTTGAGTTCATCTGATTGAATATATATGTGATGGCAGTTTGGGGGATGTTTTTATGTAGATATTGATAGGATGGAGAGCTAAGGTAAATATTGCATGCAGGGAAACCAAGAGAAACTTGAGAGAGGTGAAAACCTGAGTCTAAAGGCAGACGCCTGAGCCTCAGAAATAAAAAAGAAAACAAGGACATATTTCTTTAACCTATTTATTGTGTGCTCTTGTGTTGAGCAAAGGAAACCAGAGCGAAAAGAGATAAGATGCGGGAGGGCAGAAGTGAGCAGTCACCCCAGTATACACTGTATCAGTATATTCTTATAAATGAACTTCAGAAGCTCTTAATTCACCTTCCAGCCTTTCCTTGCGCTGAGAGTCTTTCTTAATTGACACTTTTTTCCCCCAGGCCAGGAGGCCCAGACAGAGCTGCCTAAAGCCCGGATCAGCTGCCCAGAAGGCACCAATGCCTATGGATCCTACTGCTACTACTTTAATGAAGACCTTGAGACCTGGGTTGATGCAGATGTGAGTGAGGAGAGCAGCGTGGGAAGGGAGGCTCATGAAGGTAGTGGCAGCTGCTAGTTTACAGTGTGTTCAGTGGCTGCAATGAGATAAGACGGATCCCTTCCCTATTCCACCACTGGTCCAAAACTTCCCCAATGTACTTTATCCCATCATTTGACACATTTCCAGCACAGAGATGTTGGTGGTCAATGACAGCATCATCAGGGACATTTCTGTGATGTCCTTTTTTGTTACATCCTCTGGGAGGTCTCCGTATATCCTTCACACCTTCCTCCTCCACTGAGTGCTACATTTTCTTCTCTAATAGCTCTACTGCCAGAACATGCACTCAGGCAACCTGGTGTCTGTGCTCACCGAGTCGGAAGGTGCCTTCGTGGCCTCACTGATTAAGGAGAGTAGCACTGATGACAACAGTGTCTGGATTGGCCTTCATGACCCCAAAAAGGTCAGTCTGCAGTCTCCTCTATTTCCCTATAAACATATTTGAGAGGTAAGAGGGACGTTTAAGGTCTGGCACCTCGAGCACCAACTTGTATCTTTTTTTGTTTGTTTGTTTAAATAAAAGGAACCTCTTATAGATCTTATAATGTGTGAGTTGTGAGGTTCAGTGTAGGTAGTTAGAGACATGAGTTGAAGGTTGAATTTTCTGGGCTTGTGGGAATTCATGCACAAACTCATTCTGTCTACTTCTTTATGGCTACTTCTGCATCTTTATGTAAAACTTTTTCCCTACTTTGCTATTGTCTGTCTTGGAAGAGATCACTCTGTAAACTACATAGAGAAAGAGTAGAGGAGCAGAATCTATTGCTATTTGGAACTATATTGTTAAAGTAAATAATATATCAACAACTACTGTATAGCCAATTTTATGCTGGATATGAGAGTTCCGAGCTTCAGGAAAAAAAGTCAGGAACTACTCTCTGTAAGGGACTTTTATCAGTCTGTGTATCAAACTCTGGACACTTATTGTTTGCTAGAAGAGGAGGAGGAATTTGGACATTCCAGAGAAGGAGAAACTTAGAACAAAAGCAAATGAAATGATATGATATTCATAGTGACAACGATGTTCATTCTTTCCCCTATAGTTTGGCCTGTCTCTGCGTGTGCAGAAAGGCTTGGTTGTTCTATCGATTTTTCAGTGATCACAGTCCCTTTTCTGGCCTTTCCCCACCTAGAATCGCCGCTGGCACTGGAGCAGTGGGTCCCTGGTCTCCTACAAATCCTGGGAAACTGGAGCCCCAAGCAGCGCTAATGCTGGCTACTGTGCAAGCCTGACTTCATGCTCAGGTAAAAGGCAGAGAATCTAACCCCTTGTTGCAATTTCCCTCCCACTTATCTCTGCGGTTGAACATGAGGACTGGGATAGAGGAAAGGAGTATTTTCATCCAGAAAATAAGAGAATGTTTCCTCTTGTTTCTTGTTCTGAGTCCTAGGTTGAGGGGGGGCTACCCTCTTTCTGATCTTCTCATTCTGACTCTTCTAATTGTACTGTAGGATTCAAGAAATGGAAGGATGAATCTTGTGAGAAGAAGTTCTCCTTTGTTTGCAAGTTCAAAAACTAGAGACATCTAAAAAATGGACATCTAGAACTGGTGGTCCTGCAATTACTATGAAGTCAAAAATTAAACAAGACTATTTCTCCAACTCAGTTCAGGCTGTCTCCTCCCTACTGCGTTTGCATCTCTGATCTTCAGCACCTTCACCTGTCCCAGTCTCTAGAGCCCTGAACAATAAAAACTAACATATTTTTCTCCATTGTCTGTCTTCTGCATTTGCTCTTTCTACAGCCCATGCCTGGGTGGTTGGGGTGGGAATGATTGTCACACTCCAGAGCTTGCCCTGGCCCATCCACTTTTTAAAACCCCACTCACATTTTATGTATGCCGGACTTATGAACATGTGGTGGCCTTGCTATGACAAGATAAAGATTAAGATTTCATCCACAATACATGTTACACGGACCTAGTGAGTTACATAAATAATTAAATTGTTGATCCAAACTGACTATAGTATTTGATAATCTAGAGGAATTCACATAGTTGGGGTCTGAGGGGGATACATCTGTTCTCGGTTATGCAATTTGAAGTCATGACTGAAGTGATAATTCAAGAATTATTAGATCTACAGTGCGGAGTGCATTGGTGGTACATTTTTAGAGGCCAGCAAGCAAAGTTCATTAAATGCTACTTCTTGGATGAATGAATAATTAATTGATAAATTATGTAAATTAAATATACAGGAGTACTTGTCTCTTTAAATGTCTTAACTCCCAATAAAGTCAAATTCTGAAATATTGCTTTTAGAACTTTCACAAATTAATTCTTGAAGGACACAATTCATCTCATAACATCAATTGTATCAATAATAGTATTAAATATGATTTAATACTATTTTAATAGTATTAAATGTGATAATAGTATAAATAGTATTAAATGCTCGCTTGCTCTTTGGGGCTGCAACATAAGAATGGAGGAAAAGATAAAAAATGATCAGTTCAGTACCTTTGGGTTGAGAAAGACAGAAAAGAAAAGAAGAACTGCCTCTATTAAGTGGATGCTGTAATCATATATATACTGGGGTAACAAAGGAAACAAATTGTCAGCCTGGATTAAAGTAACAACAATGAAAACAAGATTCAACTATGTGCTATGTATAAGAGACATGAGTTTGATTAAGACACAAATAGCTTGGAAGTAAAAGAATGGAAATAGATATATCTTGCAAACAGAAACAATAAGAATACTGGTTTCTGTACTGTTGCCCAGTATAATGCCTATGTGACATTGCTGAATTTCAACCCCGTCCTAACTCCGCTTATCTTTAAGAAACAGTATGCCTGCAGTAAAATGTTTCCTTTGTAACTAGATCAGCCGAGGCTAGTTAGAATCAAGATTGCCACCAAAGGACCTCAAAAGGCATCTGGTTCATTATGGTCTCATTTCCATGCTAAATGACACTCCCACTGACAACACGACAGTTGACAATCACCATGACAACAGCCAGAAGAAGCAATAAAAGGACAAAAAGGAAGGCATACTCTGGTTCCAGGAAGTTCACAACCTATTTTCAGAAAAGACATGAATGTTCTTCCCTTTGTTTTTAATGTTCAGTCCTTTCATTAGAGAAACACTATATTTTAACCCCTTCACCCCTCACTAGTGGAGAAGTTGATTTGTGAGTCATGCTCTGGCTTCTCAATTCCATGGCCATCAAATAAAGCCTGCAGTGCTTGACATTCACTTTCTGTTTCATGTATTGGCTTTGTGACACTGAATAGGGAAAGACTCCATTTTTGGGGGGACCAGCTTTGTCTGCAATGATACTAATATCAGACATATTTTACTTTAAAGCAAAAAACTTTACTTGAGAAGAAAAGGAACATTTTATAATAATAAAGTAGTTAATCCTTCAAGAAGATGTCTCAAAATACATGAAACAGACAGAACCCACTGCAGTGTGACAAAGCCACTGTAACCAGACTGCATCTCTGGATTCCTCCTCTCTAGTCAGGGCATATCTGAAAGAAGGGCAGCAGCCCCAGTCAGGGGCTTATAGATAAAACTCCCATCTCCCTGGAACAGAGCACCTGGGGGGACGGGCAGCTGTGGACACTGCTGCAGCAGACTTAACATTCCTGCTTGCCAGCTCTGAAGGGAGCAGCAGATCGCCCAGCACAGCACTCGAGCTCTGCTAAGGGACAGACTGCCTCCTCAAGTGGGTCCCTCACCCCCATTCCCCCTGACTGGGAAATGCTTCCCAGCAGGGGTCGACAAACATCTCATACATGAGAGCTCCAGCTGGCACCTGGAGAGTGCCTCTCTAGGACAAAGCTTCCAGAGGAACGAGCAGGCAGCAAACTTTGCTGTTCTGCAGCCTCTTCTGGTAATACCCAGGCAAACAGGGTCTGGAGTGTGCCTCTAGCAAACTCCAGCAGACCTGCAGAAGGGGCCTGACTCTTAGAAGGAAAACTATCAAACAGAAAGCAACAGCATCAACATCAACAAAAAGAATGCCCACACAAAAACTCCATCCAAAGGTCACCAGCATCAAAAACCAAAGGTAGATAAATTCATAAAGATTAGGAAAAACCAGACCAAAAAAGCTGAAAATCCCAAAAGCCAGAATGCCTCTTCTCCTCCAAAGGATCATAACTCCTCACTAGCAAAGGGACAAAATTGGATAAAGAATGAGTTTGATGAATTGACAGAAGTGGGCTTCAGAAAGTGGGTAATAACAAACTCCTCTGAGCTAAACAAATGTGTTCTAACCCAATTCAAGGAAACTAAGGACCTTGATAAAAGGTTATAGGAATTGCTAACTAGAATAACCGGTTTAGCTAAAAAATATAGCACAGGAACTTTGAGAAACATACACAACTGTCAATAGCTGAATTGATCAAGAGAAGAAAGGATACCAGAAATTGAAGATGAACTTAATGAAATAAAGCATGAAGACAAGATTAGAGGAAAAAGAATTAAAAGGAATGAACAAGCCTCAGAGAAATATGGGACTATGTGAAAAGATCAAACCTATGTTTGATTGGTGCACCTGAAAGTGATGGGGAGATGGAACCAAGTTGGAAAACATACTTCAGGATAATATCCAGGAGAACTTCCCCAACCTAGCAAGAGAGGACAATATTCAAATTCAGTAAATCCAGAGAACACCACAAAGGTACTCCTCAAGAAGAGCACCCCAAGACACAAAATCTTCAGGTTCACCAAGGTTGAAATTAAGAAAAAAATGTTAAGGGCAACCAGAGAGAAAGGTCAGGTTACCCACAAAGGGAAGCCCATCAGACTAACAGCAGATCTCTCTGCAGAAACCCTGCAAGCCAGAAGAGAATGGGGGTCAATATTTAACATTCTTAAAGAAAAGAGTTTTCAACCAAGAATTTCATATCCAGCCAAACTAAACTTCATACGTGAAGGAGAAAGAAAATCCTTTACAGACAAGCAATTGCTGAAATATTTCATCACCACCAGGCCTGCCTTACAAGAGCTCCAGAAGGAAGCACTAAATGTGGAAAGGAACAACCAGGACTAACCACTGCAAAAACCTACCAAATGGTAAAGACCATTGACACTATGAAGTAACTGCGCCAACTAACAGGCAAAACAACCAACTAGTATAAAAATGGCAGGATCAAATCCACACGTAACAATATTAACCTTAAATGCAAATGGGCTAAATGCCCCAGTCAAAGGAAACAGACTGGCAATTGGATAAGAAGTCAAGACCCATTGGTGTGCTGTATTCAGGAGACCCATGTCACGTGCAAAGACACACATAGACTCAAATAAAGGGATGGAGGAAGATTTATCAAGCAAACAGAGAGCAAAAATAAGCAGGGGTTGCAATCCTAATCTCTGATAACATGGACTTTAAACCAACAAAGGTCAAAAGAGACAAAGAAGGGTACTATACATTGGTACAGCGATCAATGTAACAAGAAGAGCTAACTATCCTAAATATATATGTACCCAATACAGGAGTACCCAGATACATGCAAGTTCTTAACAACTTACAGAGAGACTTAGACTCCCACACAATAATAGTGAGAGACTTTAACTCTCTACTTTCAATATGAGACAGATCAATGAGTCAAAAAATTAACAAGGATATCCAGGACTAGAACTCAGATCTGGACCAAGCAGACCTAATAGACATCTACAGAACTCTCCACTTAAAAGCCACAAAATATACATTCTTCTCACCACCACATCACACTTACTTTAAAATTGACCATATAATTGGAAGTAAATCACTCTTCAGCAAATGCAAAAGAATGGAAATCCTAACAACCAGCTTCTCAGACCACAGCACAATCAAATTAGAACTCAGAATTAAGAAACTCACTCAAAACCACATGACTACATGGAAACTGAACAACCGGCTCCTTAATGACTACTGGAAAAATAATAAAATGAAGGCAGAAATAAAGATGTTCTTCAAAACCAATGAGAATGAAGACATAATATACCAGAATCTCTGGGAAACATTTAAAGCAGAGCCTAGAGGAAATTTATAGCACTAAACGCCCACATGAGAAGCCAGGAAAGATCTAAAATCGGCACTCTATGGTCCAAATTAAAAGAACTAGAGGAGCAAGATCAAACAAATTCAAAAGCTAACAGAAGACAAGAAATAACTAAGATCAGAGCAGAACTGAAGGAGATAGAGACACAAAAAAAACTTTAAAAATAATTAAATCAAGGAGCTGTTTTTTTTTTTTTTTTTAAGGTTAACAAAATAGATAGACGGCTAGCCAGGCTAATAATAAAGAAAAGACAGGAGAATCAAATAGATACCATAAAAAGTGATAAAGGGGATATCACCACCAATTCCACAGAAATACAAACTACCATCAGATTACTACAAACAACTCTATGCACATAAAGCAGTAAATCTAGAAGAAATGGATAAATTCCCAGACACTTAAGCCCTTCCAAGACTAAAGCAGGAAGAAGTTGAATCCCTGAATAGACAAATAACAAGGTCTGAAGTTGAGGCAGCAATTAATAGCCTACCAACCAAAAAACATCCAAGTCTAGACGGGTTCACAGCTGAATTCTACCAGACATACAAAGAGGAGCTGGTACCATTCCTTCTGTAACTATTCCAAACAATAACAAAGAGAGGGAATACTCCCTCACTCATTTTATGAGACCAACATCATCCTGATACAAAAATCTGGCAGAGACAAAACTAAAAAAGAAAATTTCAGGCCAATATCCATGATGAGAATCAATGCA